CAGCATCCATCACCGGCCAGCCATTATTAACGCTGGCTGACAGTAAAGCAAATTTACAGAGGATTAAAGAGCCCAAACATACTATTATGCCACTTTAAAGTTTCAACCAGAGTCGGGGAATCTTCAAAGGGAATTCTGAGAAGGGTAGGACACAGAACAAGGGAAACCAACATTAAATTAAAAAATACTTAACTGCTAAGCAACAAGATAACCATCTGTATGCTCATAAACACAAAGTCCCCAGGTCTGACTTTGAAGGTCAGAACACTGATGCACCCACCATCTTGCAAAGCCTGTGGCCTTTGGGTGAGCAACATTTCAAGGCATATTACAATTTTGTTTTAGGGACACAGCATCATAAAATCTTGCTTCTTTTTTGAGGGTACTTCCCAGTTAACCTCTTTTAAATGAGATTGGACACAATACCATTGGCTTATTTAGGTAAATGTATAAGCTAATATTATACCCTTCTTAAATATGTGAGAAAATTCATAGCATTTAACCATCTTTTAGAGTTCCCTTTCAGATCTTGGCTAGATTGTCCAGAGCTCTGCTTCATTTTTATTCCAACTTTGACCATTGACCCTTTAGCCATAATGTGTGTGGCATCAGCTGAAGAATACAAATGGTCAATTATTCTCTTGGCCATCTCTGTCCTTAGAAAATAGCCTACAGTGTTTTTTCCCCTTCTTACTCAGCAGTAGTATTTACTAATATATATATCAATTAGAGGTTGTCACTGTTCCTACATGGCTATCAAAGCTTACCTATGACAGGTACATATAGTGGTGGTCCCCTGCAATCCCATGTAGTCACATGGTTGAGGCAAGAGGATTGGAAATTTGAGAGCAGGTTGAAAAACTTATCAAGAAGTTGTCTCAAAATTAAAATAAGAGTTCGGGATATATCTGAATGAGTGATTCCTTGGCTAGAATTCATAAGGCCCTAAATTTAATTTCTAATACTGCAAAATTAATTAACTAACTAATTTAAATAATTTAAAAAACTGAAGACATAGCTCAGCAGCAGAGGTTTAATGGTATACTAAAGGCCAGAGATTCAATCCCCAGTGCAAAAAAATAAAAATAGAAAAGAAATGATCTATTGTGAATAGACTTAGTTTTAAAATAAAAATAAGACTACTCAAATTGATTTACAATATACTCAGGAGTCTAGCTTAGCAGTAGAGTACTTGTCAAGCACGTTCAAGGCCCAGCGTTCTAGTCTCAGTGCTCTGGCAGAAACTTGGCTAAAGATATTTACGTATAGGTTGCCAACCCAAACAGAACAGTGGCTCAAACTGACGAGGTGAACAACCGATCTTATGACTTACCCATATACGTCTTTGCAGGAAAAGACACAAAGAGAGAGTTTCCCAGCACTTTCCCTAGCTCTTCTATTCAGGAAGGCCTACAGGAACAGAATTAGGCAATGCCCTGCTCTTGAGAGTCCTCCAGATCGGAGGTTGACAAAAGGAATGAGCATCACAGGGGAGACAGTAGACTTACACCTTCCATGAGCCTACTGAGCTGGGTTGAGCCATGATCCTTGGGGACCTCAAACAGGAGCTACATTCTTCCTAGCCCCTCTGCTGGTCTTTGAGGGGGTCATTGAGGCTAGTGATAGAGCTGCAGTAACTTTGTCTTGGAAATATAGCTACTTTCAAAGATAAATAGAATCAGTTGTTTTTTTTTGTTTTGTTTTGTTTTTTAATCAGCAACTTCATTAAATGTGGCTTGTATTGAGTTAACTGTTGCAATGGCAGCTTTAGTTTTAGACTGGAATTGTAGTTACATCCAAGCTAGACATTCTAGCTTCCTTGAACAATTTGTGAAATTAGAAAAAATGTAAAAATGCTTAGCTAGAATCTGAATAACTTTATTTGCCACATACTTACAACTTACACATTAAAGATCACTCTTTGCTTTATCTCTCTTTGAAACCATAATATACAGTGCAATGTCTGGCCCAGAAGTTGCGCAGATAAGCTGAAATATTTGTACATCTATCTTAACTAGCCCACCTAAATGAAAAAATAAGCCATGCGTGCTCTGACACAAGAATTTGAAAGCACTAGGCTACTACACCACTATCTAGGAAAAGAATGTTTTAGTACTATTTTGTCAAAATGGATATGAAGATTGTCTGGAATAAATGTAATGATAGGGTCCTAAAGTTCTAGAAAGTCATCATCTAAGACTAAAAACATGAAATTGACAGACTTAGGAAGGATAAAATATGCATTTAATTTATTCCATAATAAGCTATGAAAATATAAAGCCCTCCATGTTCATTTGTAAGAAAATAACTTGACTAACAGTTACTCAAGTTCACCTGTCTCAAAATGATACCACTAAGCCCTGGGCCAGCCCTGCTGGGCAGACCAAGACTCAAACCATGATTACATACTAGGTACCAGTGTCTTTCCTCCCTCATTATGATTTTCAAAGGCATTCCCAAAGGGGCTGTGATTTACAGAATGGATGGAGACAATGTAATTATGCTACTTTAAAACAAAATCAAATTGCTAAAGTATGCATCTAGGGAGAAAAGTATCTTTATGTAATTCCTTTGAAGCCTTTGGTGAGCAAGAAGATTTTCAGAAATGTAGATAAATGGACTAATGTTCCTAGCTGACAAATAATAAGTGAGTTATATGCGTCTCCTTCATCGTGCTTCATATTAAGAAGTGATACATTTTCACAAAGAGCCACTTCATAAAAAACCACCTCAAATGGCTTTTCCTTTGCATTATGCTAGATTTTCCCCAACTATCTGCTAAGGGGAAAAGGAGGGAGGGAGGCAGAGAGAGGAAGAGCACACATGCGTGTATACACACACACACACACACACACACACACACACACACACACACACACAAAATGGAGCAAGTAGGTATAAATGGCAAAGCTTCCCTCTGTAGCCTCTATTACTATTAAGGAGTATAATTGAATGTATTAGTGGGTCTCTGTAGGAATGCAATACGCTAACACACTCTAATTTTCATTAGTTTCTCAAAACTGTCATGTGAGGAATTTGAAATATGTGCAGGAGAGAAATTAATAATGGCTGGTCTGAACAAAAGTATTAAATTGGTTTAAAATGGAAGAAAAGAAGCAGAACTTGCTTATGAGAAGAAAGATGCTTAAATCACACCCAGGAAAGCGTTCCACTGACAGAGTAGCATTTATTATCCTCAAGGAGCAGCTGTGCAGAGGAGCGAGCATGAACATGAGTCCTCCCATCCCCACCACAGCAAAAACCATTCCATTGCACAAAGGTGGGCTCAGAGAGGCTAGGAGACGAAGGGTTTCTTTTTATTTTTCAAAATGAAAAGTCTTGCCAGTGGGGCTGCATGTTTTTCTAAGACAAGACAGAATACCTTGCAAATACCTGGATGTATTTGGAGGGCAACAAGATAATTACAGCTCTCCAGCCTGCAACCTTATACGTCAAAAGGGCAAAATAGGGTTCAAGTCAGCTTAGTTCATTCATCTCTGAAACTACCCCAAGGGCAATGACTTGTTACTGTTATTTCTACTTTAGAGACCAGAAACTGGAGATTGGCAGAGACTCTCAGGGTCAGCGAAGCTGGGATGAGGCTATTCCATTAAATGCAAGGTTTAAGGAGAACCGATGTGCCACTTAGCTGAACCGGAGCAGGTAACCACACCTACTAGTATTACCTACCCATCATGCTCTGCATACAGGACTCTCGAGCTTCCCTAGCCCACATCTCCAAGCTCTTCCACATTCCTCACACAAACCAGCTCCAAAGTCCTAAGAAACACATGGTCAGGTCCAGGGGAAGTCATCAACAGCACTACTCTAGTACCATGTTTTTAATTTGTTTTCTTATTGCTCTGCCCAATACTAGACACAAACAACTTAAAGGAGAGATTTCTTCTGGCTCACAATCTCAGAAGTTTCCATCCATTCCTGCAGGACAGATAGGTTAATGGTGTCAACAATGTATAGCAGAGGGATTTTACAGCACAATGGACCAGGAAATAGAACAGGAGAGGTGCTTAAACTTTCAAAGCCAATCTCTCTTCAACAGTGGCCTATTTCCACCAGGTAGGCCTACCTTCTGAAGGTTCTAAGCTTCCAAAATAGTTCTAGCAACTAGGAAACAAGTGTTTGAAGCACAAGACTATGGAGGATATTTCAGATTTATGTCGTAGCTTGTACGTACGTGTCTGGAATCATCTTTTCATGCTATTTCACCAACTCATGGAAGGCAAGTCAATGTGTATAAGCACATATAAGTCTCTGCCTACATGTTCCCACTATTCTGTTGCCTAAAGCCAGTCATGTACAACCACATTAATGGCGTAATTAAAGTACTCATCACAGTAAGAAGAATGTGGATTTATTATACTCAAACATTTGCTAACAATTATTCAAATAATCATAATAGTAAAAACAACATGAAGTCAAAATAAACAGAAACAAGGCTAAAAGTTTGAGATTTACAGCTTACTTTAGAAGAGCATATGGACATCAGAGCCAGTCTAACATAGTTCTAAATACAGTATCACTTTTCTCACACATGAATCTGGAAAACATTAGCACTATCACTCACATGACTGTTTTCACAGAGTGCTATAAGCACCAAGACATGGATGTCTTTCACAACATCTAATATATGTTCCAAATGATGATTGTGGTCTCTGGTGACAACAGTGATGGGGTGGATAAAGATGGTAACAAAGTATCAAAATTTCAATGACAACTGATTTTTATGTCAAATTTCAATAATTTCAGGATATCTACATACACTAAAGAAACAAGACACTATATACACAGCTGTCCATTCCCCCCCCCCAAAAAAAATCATAGATTTTATTATCTGTGATTAGTATCCTAAAATTCTGGCTCTTACACAGCCTTAACGTGACCCCACTTATCAAGCTATTCGTCAGCTCCCCCACCCCCCCCCATGCGCCATCCCACAGTGACCTGATAAGGAGAAGTGTTTGTGTCCTTGTTCTGTTTTTCCTGGTTCAATGTCATGACCATTTCATCCTGTACAATAAACCACTTCTCTCATTCCATTCCATCTTCTCCCCACCTAACCTATTTGTGAGGGAATTTTCTGATGAGGTTAATTGAGATGGGAAGACCCACCCTAGTAAGAGTGGTACCGTTCCATGGGCAGGGGCTCTGAATTCAATGAAAAGGAAAGGGGAGGCTGAGCATCATTATTCATCTATCTCTGCTCCTTCATTGTAGGGCAGTGTGCCCCGCTACCTCATACTCCTGTGACCACACCCTCCTTGCCTGCCACGATGGACTGTACCTTCAAATGCTAAGCCAAGGCAAAAGGAGCAAATTAATATTTTTGAGCACATGAAACATAAAATGCAAGATGCAAAAAGAGAAAATCAGCAGCGCTCGCTCGATGGCTCAAATTTTTTAAAAAATCATTGTCTACAATTTTTTTTATCATCTGTGTAAGATTCCAGCCCTTTCACAGGAACTACTGTCTGCTAGCCTCCACGGGAAATCCCCTCCATACTAATGTCAAGAGTTTTCTTTAATGGAAAAACAGTTGTCAGCCCCGGGGGTGTAAGCGTCCTCCCTAAGGCCATCTCTAGACCATGCCAGGCTGCAGGGCACAGGAGTGAGCAAGGATGCCCACGTCATGCTCGGTCCTTAGCAACCAAGTGAGTTGGTAGGTGTCATTGCTGCTTTCCCTCCTGGTGTCAGAGGAATAAGAAATCACAACCTGAAGGAGCCCTGCAGCCAGGAAACCTCACCAAAAGCAAGTGACAGCAGGACTTGCCAGCTGGAGTTCCCCCGCTTTTCAACACAAGTACCGGGTAACCATGGCGAAAGCCTATTGCTGATAATTACTACAGTTTCACAGCTGAAAAGCCGGGAGGTTGGCCTCTAACACACGGTAGCCCGTGCATGTGGCCCTCAGCACGGAATGGGCTGCACTCTGCTTTGTGTATTCCCTAAAAAAACAACACTAAAAAAAAAATCAGAAATGCCAATTAAAATTAACCTCTATGTCTTCTTTTATTTTCAGTTTGCTTTGCTGAGGTAAGATGTGCTACGGGCCCAGGCTAACCTGGAATGTGCGTTCCTCCTGCAGCTCCCTCAGGGCTGGGATCATGAGTCTGCACTTCTGGACCGGGTGACCACTATCAGCTCATTTGACTTACGTTGTCATCCAGAGGTCAGCGCAAATCGGAGATGTGTTATTATGTCTTTATTCTATAGTACCTTTGGCATGGGGAGGTGCTTAGTCATCGAGAAAGTGAGCAGACCGAAGAAAATAAGGGAGGAGGAAAGGGAGGCTGGAAGGTGGCTATGCACATGGGAAGACAAGAACGGGGAATGATGGGAAGAACAGTGGTACTTAGATTACCGATATAATAAGGAGACTTTCCATGTAAAAATTCTGTCTTGATAGCTTGTTAAAATTTATGATGTAAGTGGAACTTACTCTACACCTGTTACATCCACTTGTAAAGAGTATTTGTTCTGTGACTTATTATTTGTAAAAGAGCACTAACCATCAGCACATGGCCCAAGAATGGTGTGAGGAGATTTCTGAGTACTTGTGAGAAAACTTTAAGGAAACAAGACACAAGTCTTGCGACCTCAATTTATTCAAAACACGGAATTGTTCTGGGAATGTGTTTTCATGCTCCTCCCAGGTGTAGCAGATAGGAGTGAGTTTACTTCAGCTATTGCTATTCATACATCTCTGTGCTAGACAGTTTTATGTCAACTTGACATAAAGTTATTTGAGAGGAGGGATCCTCAATTAAGAAAATACCTCCATAAGATCAGGCCATAGGCAAGCCTACAGGCCATTTTCTTAATCATTGATTCATAGTGGGGAGAACCCAGCCCATTACAGGTGAGGGCACCTCTGGGCTAGTGGTCCTGGGTTCTATAAGAGAGCAGGCTGAGCAAGTGATGGGGAGAAAGCCTGTACACAGGATCCCTCATGGCCTCTGTATCAGCTCCTGTCTCCAGCTTTCTGCCCTGCTTGAGGTCCTGTCCTGACTTCCTCCAATGAAGGACTATGATCTGGAAGTGTAAGTCAAATTAACCCTTTTCTCCCCAACTTGCTTTTTGGTCATAGTGTTTTGTTGCAGCAATAGAAACCCTAACTAAGACAGCCTCTGTGGGAAAACATGTTTTTGCCATGTGTGACTTGTCCTTATGATTGAACACTGTATAAGTTGCCTGGTGCACTGAATAAAGTTGTCTGTTGCATGAGACTTTAGTCCACCTCATTTTTAGGCTCCATTCTCCCAGGTCATGCCGCCAACTAGAGTGGTAAGCAACCAACCATTCCTGCGTCCAAGTTTGGTCACTTAATTCAGTGTTGGAAAGTGTCAAATAGCCCTGCAGCCTGTCATCACTAGATTCCCCAGTCCCACAGTCCAAACCACCTCTAGTCCTTTAATCATTTCTTTCATTAAATAATAAAAAAACAAAACTATTTTGCCTTAAGAAAAGCCAACAATCACGGCTGAAATCATTTATGTCCTGCGGAGCGCACCCCACTTCTGGGCTTTATTTCTTAGGTGCTGATGAGAGAGGCTCAAGGATTCCTGATGAGTCAAAGCCATGGGTAGCAAAAAACTCAATGATTCTTATCAACATGCTAAGGACAGTAGTTCGGTGAGCCTTGGCACTCAAAGGATGGAAGAGCATCTATTTCACTACCCTGTATCTTTCATCCGTGACTAGTATGCCCCTTAAAGTCACCTAGAAATGCCAAGCCTGTCTCTCCTGGGCTGCTAAATTACATCCCGACTTGAATATGTATGACTTGATTTATTGACCTAAAGGTGGAGCTTTCTGTCTAGTCCCATTTAATTTCATCTTATTGCATTTCCTTGTCATTCACTCTACCCTTCTGAGATGTCTTTGAGCCTTCTTTGGCCTTCCAATATACTAATATCTCCCCAGCTTTCTGTCAGAAATTAGATCACCAGTATTGTTATCCATGTGATGCATTTTAAAAATAAGAAACAAGAGAACTAGAAGGTGAGGCTGTGGGGTTTGCCTGGAGCACATGAACTGAATTGTCATCCATGAACTAATGCTCTCTTCTTGGGGGTGGTCACTTCATTGATTATAGGCATTCTGTCACATGACCCTGTATTTTCCTACTCGATGCCACAGAGCATTCCATAAATTGGAGGAGGCAGGGAGAAGATTCTGGGGGTGAGGGTGGGGTGGGGGAATATGTCTCTCCTCTTCCTAGGATATATTTGTATTTTTCTTTTCTTCTTTATTTTGGTTGGGGAGGGGAAATCACACCCATTTCTCCATTTACTTTTGTTTAAAAAGAAAAGTTCTGAGTGCTCAACAAGTCTTTGAAAACCATAGATTGAAGCCAAGTTTGTCTACTTTCTATACTCCCATCCTAAAATCCTCTGACAAATGCCTTTCAAATTCAGACCCATTGCATGGACCTTCCTCTCATTGGTACTACGCTTACTCATTTCATTGTCAACCTGATTAGGCTAAGAAATACATATGGTATCAATGAGGCACACTTTGTGGTATGCCTGTAAGGGTGTTTCCCTAGAGGTTTAACTGAGCGAGGCAGGGCCACTCTGAATGTGGGCGGCACCATCATCCCATGTGCCAAGGTCCCAGCCTCAACTGATGCTTCCTGGTTAGTGCTACAGTCTAAGCTGTAACCCCTGTCATGCTTCTGACCAAGATAGATTGTATTCTACTGAACAATGAGCCCCAATAATACTTTCTCCCCTTAAATTGCTTCTTGCCACCAACAACAACAACAAAAAAAAAAAACAGTAACTAATACACAGTATTCCCAACCAGAAGGAAAATAATCTTAGAAAATCCTCATGACTCCATGATGCTTCTTCATTTTATTTCAGTTCTCAAAATATACTTCATATTTTCCCTTTCACTGCTCTGGAATGGAAGCAAAATTTTCATTTCTTAGATTTATTTTTTAGGTTTTTTTTTTCAGTTGTAGATATGCCTGTGTGTGGGTATATGCACATGATTGCACATGCTTGCAGAGGCCAGGAAAGGCCATCCCACATCCTGGAGCAGAGGTATAGGCAGTTGTGAGCTACCTGAATTGGGTGCTGGGAACTGAATTCAGGTCCTCTGAAAGAGCAGTACATACTCTTAACCACTAAGTCATTGCTCCAGCCCCAAGTTTATCCTTTTTGAGACTGCATTTGACAAACTGTGGAAATCATTGTGGGTTTTTTTTTTATCTACAAATATGTCACAATGATCAATAATAACCAAGGAAAATGACTTTCAAATTCTTTTTGAGATATTAGACAACAATTCATTTCTATTAAGGTGTTGAATGAGATGGTACTGTAATCCCTTTCTGTTGGGACTTTCCCCCTACCTAAAACCCATGACCAGAGTTAAGAAACTCCATTAGCTTCAGAGAAAACACAGTACAATGGGTAGCAAGCAAGCCTGTCGGCAGCATCCTTGGTCCACAACTCACATGTTTTCATCTAGAGGAACCGTGCATTTTTTAGAGACTAACAATATTTACTAGACTTTGCACTCAGTATTTGGTGGCTCTGTGGAGCAACTCCTGGGCACTGGGATACAATGGGTAGCATTATTAATCTTTTTACACATAGAGATATAAAACAATGTGCTCCAGTGGTAGTGAACATCTATAACACCAAGTAAAATATCAGTGGAGTGTGAATAGTATTTTTGAAACTCTGATAAAATTTCATATTTTTGCCAGTAGCCTATGTTCACTTTGAGACAAATTTCATCCAGGTTGAAGGCTGGCAATATTTTAGGCTGTCATCCAAACACAAAAATTTTTCCTGCAGATTTAGTAGATAGCCCTGCAAACTCTAGACTGGGCATCATAAAGAACACAGGAGAAAAAGGATAATTATGTAAAGCCAACATTTGAATGCATTGTGTGTGGCTGGCAGCCTTCTTCTGCCTCGCATTAATATTCACACCGGGCACTGTTTAATGACGCCATTCAGTGTGGGGATGTGGAGCAGGAAGAGGAATAGAGGCAATCAAAAAATAATTTATTGCAATAGAAATATTCCTCCTTTTGAGGCATCATCGGAAAAAAAAATAAAAAGAGGCACTTTTCCCCCAGTTCCTAATTTCACTAAATAGATTCTCTTTCCTGTCAAATCCCTACGGTTTCTTTATGAGAAATATGAAATTGGTCTGATAAAAATTCCTACCCCACACGTATTCCACTCAGGTGCCTCCTGCACAAAAATCCTAAATCTACCAACTGCCTCCAATAAGCCAGCACCTTCCCCGGATCACCTGTCACTCTCCTCCGTGGTTTTGTGGCTTGGCCAGCCAGGTACTTGAAACACCGCAAGAAAGGACACGCTTCCTCTGCTGTCTTTGCATTCTCCCATCTCCCTTTGTCCATTTTCAGCTGAATTATACTGAGAAGGAAGAGACCTCAGTTGCTTTTCTCATGGAAGCTGAGGTTAAGTCTTACTTCCCTGAGGCAGTAATGGGGGGTGGGGGGTGCATGACAAGGGCATCCTCTTGAGTGGTGAGGCTCCTGGTAAGTGGACTGTGTGCTAACTGTGCTCCTGTAAGTAACCCCAGTGAAACTCTCTGGTTCACCAGGTTTACACATACACACACACACACACACACACACACACACACACACACACACACACACGAGGGTGGGGGTGGGGAACTAGTTAACGAGGGTGCCCGGGGGCCTGGTTAAGGAGGACATTGGAGTGGGGGGGAAGGACAAGAAAGGGAAATATTTATATGTACGAAATGAAACTCATCACTGTGTGTAATTAATGTATGCTAATAAGAAACTGTAAAAAAACGCTAAGCCTTCCAAGGCCATTGACGTCCCACCGTTAGGGCACATATAGAATAAAGTTTGTTGCTTTATTAAACAGCCCATAAAGGGCTGAGGAGGAGGGAGGGTGGAGAGGGGACGAGCAAGCACAGAACAGTTTCAAAAGCCACAAGGACCGTATGAGGTGTGTGCTGTTATCATTCCCACCTCAGAAACCTACAAACTGAAATGTTACATGAATGCCAAGGCTGATCTAAAATACATAGAGCTCATTTAATAACAAAGCTAAGCCTGTGTGCATATATAACAAGGAACAGAAGCAATTGCAGATAAAAATGTAGCTCAGAAAATGTCCAGTAACTTTGGACTGACCTGAAGAGAGTTCCGAGGAAAAAGACCCTGGAAGTAATTTAGATGCCGAGGCTAAACGGGGTCCATCAGTAAGAAGATATTTGAGTACAAATTACAGATAAAAGAGTTACAGCGACTTCAGTAAAGTGGCATTTGATTTTCTTACATGCAGCAAGACATCTTGAGAGATCTGGTTACTAGCACTGATAATTTGATAATGTTAAGAATGATGACATGGAAATCTTCTGGCCATTTACTTCACAATAATAAAACAGCTGCTGTGACTCCAGCAATCATATCACAAAGATGTGAGGTGAGAGAGGCCAAATGAACAATCAAAAATGCTAGAGCTTTCTCCAAACCACCCCGCTGCCCTCCTTAGATCTCCAGTTAGGTCTCATAGTTCAGAACTCAGTCACAGGCAACCACTAACAACAAAGCAAGCTAAGGAATATGTAATAGGGTTGTCAGAACTGGACATGACCCACAATGCAGATAGAGCTGAGCCCCTGCGATCTAGAACTGAGATGGGATTCTGTGATTCATGTGGGGTTGCCATGGCTGCCATGGGGCCTTATGTCAGCAAACTTCCGGAGACAACCAGACAAGTATACATTCTAAGTTCTGAAGGCCACAGGCGGTCACTGCTACATATTAATCTTGGGAGGGGAGTAGAGAGGGGGAAGAGAGAGAGAGAGAGAGAGAGAGAGAGAGAGAGAGAGAGAGAGAGAGAATTCATGTACTTACTGCCTCTAAAAATGGTTTGTAGACTATCTTAAAACGGGGCAGGAGTGGCTCTGTTCCAGAGTTTGTCGCCATGCAGGACAGAGGGTGCAGCTATGGGCCCCTAACCTTGCATGGAAGGGATGCATGAAACCCATTGTCTCATTATTTCTCTACATCTGCCCTTTTACTTTCTCCAAGGAAGTGAGACCAGAAACTAGGAGAGCCAGGTTCTTCCCCCAGCTTTCCCCAGTCGCCAAAAGACTTAATAACTAAAGAAAGTAGCAATAGGCATGATTTTATCCTTTCCAGCTCCAGAGGGTCAGAGGAGAGGAAACATGGTCCCCTCTAACACCGACA